AAATGGCCGCTACAGCCAGCGTGCTGTGGCCAGTGCACTGCACCGATCTGAAGCCAGGAGCCAGGTGCTTCCTCCTGGTCTCCCATGGGGTGCAGGGCCCAAGCACTTGGGCCATTCTCAGGCCACAGCAGAGAACTGGACTGGAAGAGGAGCAACCTGGACAGAACTGGCGCCCCAACCGGGACTAGAACCTGGGGTGCTGGCACCGTAGGCAGAGGGTTAGCCAAGTGAGCTGCGGTGCCAGCCCAAGAAAGACCTTCTAAGATCAATACCATTCACAATAGATGCAAAAAAATTAAATGCCTTGGAATAAATTTAATCAAGGAGGTGAAAGAACTCTATGATGAGAATTCTAAAACATTAAGGAAAGAAACAGAAGACACAAAAATTGGCAAAATTTTCCATGTTCATGGATTAGAAGAATCAATGTCATCAAAATGTCCATACTACCAAAAGCAATTTACAGATTCAATGCAATACCAGTCAAAATACCAGGGACGTTCTTCTCAGATCTAGAAAAAATGCTGACATTTATAAGGAAACACAGGAGACCTTGAATAGCTAAAGCAACCTTATACAACAAAAACAAAGGTGGAGGTATCACAATACCAGATTTTAAGACATACTACAGGGAAGCTGTAATCTAAACAGTCTAGTACTAGCACAAAAACAGATTGGTAGACCAATGGAACAGATTCGAAATTCTAGAAATCAACCCATGCATCTATAGCCAACTTATATTTGACAATGAGCTACAGTCAATTTCTGGAGCAAGGACAGCCTCGTCAACAAATGGTGCTGGGAAAACTGGATCTTCACACACTGAAGTATAAAAGCAAGACTCCTACCATACAGCTTACTCAAAAATACACTCAAAATGAATCGAAGACCTAAGTCTATGATCTGATATCACCAGATTATTAAGAACATTGAAAAACCCTGCAAAACATTGGCATAGGCAAAGACTTCTCGGAAAAGACCCCAGAGGCATAGACAGTCGAATCCAAGATTGACAAATGAGATTACCTCAAATTGAGAAGCTTTCGCTCTGCGAAAGAAACACTCAGCAAAGTGAGAGGCAACTGATATAATGAGAGAAAGTATCTGCAAACTATGCAACTGATAAAGGATTAACAACCAGAATATATAAAGAGATAAAGAAACTCACCAACAACAAAACAACCCAGTTAAGAAATGGTCAAAGGACTTAAACAGGCATTTTTCAAAAGAGGAAATCCAAATGGCAACAGACATATAAAAAAATGCTCAGGATCATTAGCCGTCAGGGAAATGCAAATCAAAACCACAATGAGGTTTCACCTCACCCCAGTTAGAATGTCTTTCATACAGAAATAAACAAAGAATAAATGCTGATGAGGATGTAAGGAAAAGGTACCTTAATCCACTGTTGGTGGAAATGTGGACTGGTACAGCCACTGTGGAAGACAGTATGGAGATTCCTCAGAAATTTGAATATAGACCTATCGTATGACTCAACCATCCCACTTCAGGGAATTTACCCAAGGGAAAAGAAATCAGCATATGAAAAAGTTATTTTTTATTGTTTATTGCAGCTCAATTCATAATAGCCAACATATAGAATCAGCCCAAACGCACATGAACTGAAGACTAGATAAAGAAATTATGGGATATGTACACCATGGAATACTACACTGCAGTAAAAAAAAATAAAAAGAAATCCAGTTATTTGCAACAAAATGGATGGAACCGGAAATCTACATACTTAATGAAATAAACCAGTCCCAAAAGGACAAATACCATGTGTTCTCCCTGAGCTGTGATAACTAATAGAGCACCTAAAAGGTAATCTATAGAAGTGAAATTAACACTTTAAGATGCAATTGCTTTGAACAGTCCTTGTCTCCACTATTGAGGAACAGTTTTTTTTTTTTTTCACACTATTTGTTGAACCCTTTACTTAGTATAGAGTTAATTATATGTGTATAAAGTTAATTGAAAATAGATCTTAGAAAAAATAAGAATGGGAATACTGGTCGGCGCCACAGCTCAATAGGCTAATCTTCCACCTGCGGCGCCAGCTCACTGGGTTCTAGTCCTGGTCGGGGTGCCGGATTCTGTCCCGGTTGCTCCTCTTCCAGTCCAGCTCTCTGCTGTGGCTCGGGAGTGCAGTGGAGGATGGCCCAAGTGCTTGGGCCCTGCACCCCATGGGAGACCAGGAGAAGCACCTGGCTCCTGGCTTTGGATCAGCGCGGTGTGCCGGGCTCAGCACACAGGCTGTGGCGGCCATTGCGGGGTGAACCAATGGAAAAGGAAGACCTTTTTCTCTGTCTCCCTCTCACTGTTCACTCCTCTGCCTGTCAAAAAAAAAAAAAAAAAAAATGGGAATAGGAGAGATAGGAGGAGAAAGGTGGGAGTGTGGGTGGGAGGGCAGGTATGGTGGGAAGAATCACTATTCCTAAAGTTGTATTTATGAAATGCGTGAAGTTCGTGTTCCTTAAATAAAAGGTTTCTGGGAAAATAAAAGAGCGGCCAGCATTGTGGCAGAGTGAGCTAAGCAGCCACCTGCAGCACTGGCATCCCATATGTGCAGCGGTTCTTGTTCTGGCTGCTCCACCTCTGATCCACCTCCGTTGATGGCCTTGGAAAGCAGAGGAAGATGTCCCAAGTGCCACCTATGTCAGCGACCCAGAAGGAGTTCTCTGCTCCTGGCTACAGCCTGGCCCAGCCCTGGAAATGCAGCCATCTGGGGAGTGAGCCAGTGTGTGGATGATCTCTGTCTCTCCCTCTCTCTCTAACTCTCCCTTTCAAATAAATAAATAGATAAATTGTTCTTTGAAAAAAATCATGCAGAGAGATACCATGCTCTCTTATCCAGTTCCCCAAGGGTGACATCTTGTGTAACTATGGGACAGCCAGGACATTAACACTGATAGGTTCAAGATAAGGAGATTCCCCCATGAGGACTAATATCCCTGATGTTGCCCTCTCATGGCCATGCCTACTTCCTTCCTAGACCTCGCCAACTGCAAACCTGCTCTCCTTTCCTACAATTTTGTCATCTGAAGAATATTAAATGAATGCAATCTGTGCAGTATGTTCCTCCGTGTAACTGGAGACAAAGGTGATGCGAATATCACTGGCTTGTTCCCTTTCACGCCGAGGTGTGCTCCATGGCATAGAGGCACCACAACTGGTCATCTGTCGAGGACATTCAGTTGGTCCAGTTCTGCGCTATGACGAGTAAAGCTGCTGGAAGCATTCACGCCCATGTCGTGTAAACGTAGGTTCTCATTTCTCTCCAGTAAACGCCCAGGAGTGCAACTGCTAGGACGCATGTTTAATTCAGGGAACTAATGAACTAGAGTGATTTAAGGTCTTAGCCTGGTGAATTAAGACCCTGGTTAGGATGCCCATGTGCTGTATCACAGTGCCTGGATTTGATGCCCGTCTCTGGCTCCATGATTCCAGTTCCCTGCTAATGTAGACCCAAGGAGGAAGTGGTTGATGGCTCAATTACTTGGGTCCCTCCCACTCACTTGGAAGACCTGGATTGAGCTGCAGGCTCCTGGCTTTGGCTTAGCCTAAGGCTTTTGGGGAATGAGCCAGTGGATTGAAGACTTCTCTCTGCCTATCAAACAAAGTAATAAGGGGGCTGGCGCTGTGGCGTAGTGGATAAAGCCATTGCCTGCAGTGCAAGCATCCCATATGGGCACCAGTTCGAGTCCTGGCAGCTCCACTTCCAATCCAGCTCTCTGCTATGGCCTGGGAAAACAGTAGAAGATGGCCCAAGTACTTGGGCCCCTGCACCCACATAGGAGACCCGGAAGAAGCTCCTGGCTCCTGGCTTCAGATCAGCACAGCTCCGGCCGTTGCGGCCAACTGGGGAGTGAACCAGCAGATGAAAGACCTCTCTGCTTCTGCCTCTCCTTCTCTCTCTGTAACTCTTTTAAAAAGATTTATTTATTTGATAAAGTGTTAAAAAGTAATAAAATAAGAAACCTAGCTTAGAGAATGAAAAATAGGTGGTATCATGAATTAGGCCACTTCAGAAGTTGCTATTCCAATCCTGGAGACAGCTTGTACTGACTGACCTCCTAGAATGACCAGAATGGTGTGCATCTGCGAGGCGTCTGGCACTAGGGAAACTGCTGGCAGGTGTAATGGACAACCACTTGTCTTCCACAGAGATGACACAACCCTGGCCTCCTGGGGAATGCACACTATCACAGCAAAATAGCACAAAGGACCACAAGAAACCGTGCACGATGAGAGGTGCGAGGCTGGATGCCCACCACGCTGAGTCGCTGGGACCCTCAACACTCCTATTCCAAGAAGGGGTCTTTCCCGGAACAGAGGAAAACTGCAACACAGCCCAGCATGCTTCACATTTGCATCAGAATACATTTGTGTGTTTAGTATACGTGCTGCCGAAGCAAGCACTGTATTTGTGTTTTTTTAAAAAGTGGAACAGACTTTTACCTAGATAACCTGAGCCATCATGGGGCTCTGAGCACTCCTGGAGCTAAGAATGAACACCCTCTTGTAAGGATGAAAGCGGAAACCTCCACCCAGAACCATGCTCGATTTAAAGACAGGAACAAAAACATCAGGTGCACACTTCCCCACCCACACCCCTTGGCCCTGAGGAAGCAAACCTCTGACCAACGGCAAACCTCGGCACCTCCCTGTGCCATATTCTCATTCCTGCTGCTTCCCCATTCTTCCCTGAATGGATTGGGGGTGCGCATGCCCCAGGTGAGGGTTACTTGTTCAATGTCTCTGACTCTACCCACGTCAAGACACCAGGGGGACCACCAGGCTCTCTGCCAAGTCCTAGAGAGGGGTACACGAGGAAGTCTCTCCAAACACACAAAGGCTCCCTCTCACGTCAACGTCGCGAGAACCAGCAGCCCTGGGTCCGCCCCACATCTGTCACCCACAGGCCATTTATTCCTCTCTCACGTTAGGATGAGTTTTAACATCCGGGGTCTTGAACAGCATGGAGCTGCATCACTCACCAGTCTGGCAAATGAAAAAATGTTTGTTGGAGCACGAGTCCTCTTGTGTCGTGGTCTGACCGGCGTTCCTGGACACGAGAGTGCAGCTGAAATGTGGCAGTTGGCTGATGACATCTGCTGAAAGAGACCGATGAGCCTCATACCCCAGACACACTTTTTTATTTATTTATTTATTTTTTATTTTTTTGACAGGCAGAGTGGACAGTGAGAGAGAGAGACAGAGAGAAAGGTCTTCCTTTGCCGTTGGTTCACCCTCCAATGGCCGCCGCAGCCAGCGCACCACACCTATCCGAAGGCAGGAGCCAGGTGCTTCTCCTGGTCTCCCATGGGGTGCAGGGCCCAAGCACTTGGGCCATCCTCCACTGCACTCCCAGGCCACAGCAGAGAGCTGGCCTGGAAGAGGGGCAACCGGGACAGAATCCAGTGCCCCGACTGGGACTAGAACCCGGTGTGCCGGCGCTGCAAGGCGGAGGATTAGCCTGGTGAGCCGCGGCACCGGCCCAGACACACTTTCAAAAGGCAAATATGGAAAGCAGCTTTGGTCATCTTCCATCAGGTGGAAATTTAGGACCCCCCACCTTATTAAGTGTTCTTCATCACAAATATTAACTTCATCTCGATGATAACCATGCCTTGGATTTTTCTCTCGAAAATCTAAGACCACAGTACAAGATTTCCACTACTTCTATGTAGGAGAGGTTATAGCTATCTAATTTCTTTCTTGTTTCTGCATGAAGAAATGTAATAATAAAGATACAGATACCAAGAAAAAAGAACATACGAGGTTTCCTTCTTTGGGGTGGTGTTTGGTCAAATGGCTAAGGCATCTGCACCCCACATCAGAGTGCTTCGATTTGATCCCTGGCTCTGGCCTCCAGCTTCCTGCCAATGAAGACCTAGGGAGGCAGCAGCCAGTGGGTCAAACACTTGGGTTCCTGCCACCCACGTAGGAGACCTGGATTCAGTTACTGGCTCCGTGCTTTGGCCTGGTCCGGCCCTTGTTGCAGGCATTTGGAAACTGAACAAGCAGATAGAAGATCTCTCATAAATAAATTTTTTTAAAATTTGACAGGTAGAGTTATAGACAGTGAGAGAAACAGGGAGAAAGGTCTTCCTTCCGTTGGTTCACTCCCTAAATGGCCACCACGACCGGTGCTGCACTGATCTGAAGCCAGGAGCCAGGAGCCAGGAGCTTCCTCCTGGTCTCCCATGCGGGTACAGGGCCCAAGCACTTGGCCCATCCTCCACTGCCTTCCTGGGCCACAGCAGAGAGCTGGAGAGGAAGAGGAGCAGCTGGGACTAGAACCCGGCGCCCCGACGGGATGCTGGTGCCGCAGGTGGAGGATTAACCAAGTGAGCCACGGCGCTGGCCCCATAAAAAATTAAAAAAAAAAATCCTTCCTCTTTATAATCTTATCCAATGCTTTTAGTAACAAATTTAGACAGGCTCTGGGAAAAATCTCCTCCCCTTTCCTTCTAATCAAAAGCTATGGCAACAAGAAGAAAATCCTGCAGAGGAATGAGGGTGATGACAAAGTGACTTATTTTTCTGTGCACAAAAGCACGAAGATTAAGTTTGCTTTCCTTCCCCTGTGTCCTAACAAAACTCGAGGAAGCTTCCTTCACAATGTTAAACCCTGGAGCCTTACCGGAGTGTTTTCTTTCAAGCCGTCTCTTTTGCCCAATCCACCACGTCGTCCCTTCTTCCAGAGATTTCTGGATGAAGCCCTGAACTGCCTGGTTCCAGGGGTTAAGGAGGTGGCCCCCACGGTCATGGCAGTGCTTCTCTGCTTCTGGGAGGGAGTACTGTAATCTGTGGAGCTGGTAACAGTGCCTTTTCCCCTGCTGCCCCGGGGCATTTAGGGGATTCCCCAGAAGCACAGCTGTTCTGATGCAGAGCCAGAGCCAGCCTCTGCCTAGGGAGAACATTTTCTCTGTGCACCGTGAGCGAGAACTTGTGGGGACACAGCAGCTGCCTGCTCCTTAAATATCCGTCTTCACGGGCTCGTCTCACTTAGCAGTATTATTCTCCTATGAACAGGGAATAATGTGCCACGGACACAAAAGGCTCTGCTCTGTTTTGTCCTGAGGACCCAGATGGCGTTTTCCGGTAAGCTGAAGGCAAACAGCAGAGATCAATACAACACTGCCCCTTTACACCACCCTGTGTGTCTATCAACTGGCTACGGCTTTAGCAAATAAAGACCAATCCCAGCACCGAGTCTAGGGCTTAAGGGGGTAGAGGATACTGAATACTTACCTCTGAATCGCTAAAAAAAAGTTGGTATGTGTATTTATTTTAAAAAAGAAAACATTCTTACCGACTACTAGGAATGAGTTTCTAAAAAGAAGCTTCATTGTGTATATTTAAAGTAAACAACGGGATTGCCGCACTGAAGAAGGAAATGCTTGTATCCTTCATCTAAGTGCTTTGTTTCCTGTCTAGCGCCGGAGCACCTGTGGGTACAGCCCGAGCCCCAGGGAGATGATGGTGTAATTACCACCGTCCTCATGCTGTACCCGGACCTCTACACATGTTCACCCTGCATACCTGCCCCGCCCAGAACTGATTTAAGTGACTGGATTCTGTTTCATAAATATGTACAAAACCACGCATGAACCCTGTCCTGGAGCAATTACACAATCACAAAAGCAAAAATATTTACAGAATGAATATAAATACAAACAAGACTGAAAACCCACAAGGTCCAGCCTCTGCTGAAGTAAACGGCGACAAACACGGCTCTGGATCGTGACTGCGCGGATCCCTTTGACTGCTGCTTGTGCGTTACAGGACTCAGGCCTGTTTTTTCTTTCTTTCTTTGAAAAGCCTTTGTTCGTACGGCACGCCTGTTGGTCTGCACCTGGGACACACCCATCATTTATGCGACAGAACTCGCTCTCCTTGGGGACACAAAGTCGCTAGAAATAACGCACACAAGGGTGGGCACTGAAACCACTCAGCAGGTCACCGTTAGCATATCTGTCCAAACCACGCTTACGCAGCTTCTCAAAGTCATCACGGAAATGCACACTAAAATTGAAGTCTCTGAAACACAGATTCCAAAATACATTCCTATTTGACAAACACTGCAGTAACCAAATCAAAGAAAGATGTAGTACAATCTCTAATTTCAAAAAGCCCAACTTTGTCTGAGAACTAAAGATACAATAATTGTAATGAAGAAACGCCGTGAAGAGTGCCACCACAAAGGGACAGTTTGAGTGCTAAGAAAGGCCAGAGGAGGGGCCGGCACCACGGCTCACTAGGCTAATCCTCCACCTAGCAGCGCCGGCACACCGGATTCTGTCCCAGTTGCCCCTCTTCCAGGCCAGCTCTGCTGTGGCCCAGGAAGGCAGTGGAGGATGGCCCAAGTGCTTGGGCCCTGCACCCCATGGGAGACCAGGAGAAGTACCTGGCTCCTGGCTTCGGATCAGAGCGGCGCACTGGCCGCGGCGGCCATTGGAGGGTGAACCAACGGCAAAAGGAGGACCTTTCTCTCTGTCTCACTGTCCACTCTGCCTGTCAAAAAAAAAAAAAAAAAAAAAAAGGCCGGCGCCGCGGCTCACTAGGCTAATCCTCCGCCTAGCGGCGCCGGCACACTGGGTTCTAGTCCCGGTCGGGGTGCCGGATTCTGTCCCGGTTGCCCCTCTTTCAGGCCAGCCCTCTGCTGTGGCCAGGGAGTGCAGTGGAGGATGGCCCAGGTGCTTGGGCCCTGCACCCCATGGGAGACCAGGAAAAGCACCTGGCTCCTGGCTCCTGCCATCGGATTAGCGCGGTGCGCCGGCCGCAGCATGCCAGCCGTGGCGGCCATTGGAGGGTGAACCAACGGCAAAGGAAGACCTTTCTCTCTGTCTCTCTCTCTCATTGTCCACTCTGCCTGTCCAAAAAAAAAAAAAAAAAGCCAGAGGAGGAAGAAATGATCTCCCCACAGGTGGGAAAGTGAGCAGTATGGGGGCGGGGGGAGAGGGAGAGAATTGTGTGTACATGAGGAGGACTTGTAGGATGCAGCGGGAACTGTAGCCACAAGACACGAATGCTCTCAGCATCAGGCTGGAGAGTGTGCACTCCATTTGGAAGGTTTTGGAGCAGGACATCTGCCCTTAGCAGGACTGTGTTTGTATTTTGCAAATTTCAAAGTTTCTAAATATCTTCATTTAACATATGAATACACAATGCATACGTATGCTTCATGAAACAAACATTTGAGACAGATGCAGAGACAGATTCTTATTTGTTGATTCACTCATCAGAAGCCCCCTTTTGCTCCCCAACAGCGGGCAGCGACAAAGGTGGGAGCCAAGATCTCCATCTGGGTCTCCCACACAGGTGGCAGGAACTCACTTTCTGAGCCATCATGGCTGCCTCCCGCAGTCTGTATCAGGAGGAAGCTAGATTAAGAGCTGCAAATGTTACACAGGTTTTCTGATGTGGGACACAGACGTTTTAACCAACTAAGCTGAACGCATGGTTCAGGCATTTCCCAGTGAGGCCAGTGTGGATGCAATCTAGTCAAGTCCACTCAAGCACTTTATGCAGTACTGGAAGTTCACGTCAACCCTTTCTACAGTACATAACACTTTTTTAAAAAAAAAAGAAATATTTATTTATTTGAAAGTCAGAGTTACACACAAGAGAGAAGGGGAGGGAGAGGGAGAGAGAGGGGAGGGGGAGGGGGAGGGGGGGAGAGGGGGGGTCTTCTATCACTGGTTCACTCCCCAAATGGTCACAACAGCCAGAGCTGCACCAATCCGATGCCAGGAGCCAGGAGCCCCCTCAGGGTTTCCACGTGGGTGCAGGGGCCCAAGGACTTGGGCCATCTTCTGCTGCTTTCCCAGGCCATAGAAGAGCTGGATCAGAAGTCAAGCAGCCGGGACCTGAACCAGTGCCCTTATGGGATGCCAGCACTGCAGGCAGTGGCTTCACCCACTACGCCACAGCGCTGGCCCTCTGTAACACTCTTGATACACACCTTACCTAGAACATAAACTATCAAAAATTTTAATTTTTAAAAAATATTTGAAGGTCAGAGAGAGGAAGAGATCTTTTGTCCGCTGAATCACTCCCCAAATGGCCACATCGGCTGGGGCTGTGCCAGGCTGAAGCCAGGAGCCTGAAGCTTCTTTTGGGTTTCTCCGGTGGGTGCAATGCCCAAACAGCTGGGCTGTCCTCCGCTACTTCCCCAGGTGCGTGAGCAGGGAGGCTGACTGTAGGTGCAGCAGCTGAGACTCGAACTAGCATCCATGTGTGACACAGGCATCGCAGGTAGCGGCTTCATCTGCCACGCCACAGTGCATGCCTCCCAAAATTTAAATAGAACTTGCCGAGAATAGGTGGGAATGAAAGAATCAACACTTAAGTAGTCTCTGTTGTTGAACAATTTAAGTAACTAAATTATGATAAATATATTCCACCAAAATGCTCTTACATGTAGACTCCAATACCTAGTATCTGAATTACTGCAGAATTTGTCAGGTTTACAAATTTATTCCAGCTTGATACCTCTGCACAATTGATGAAGCTCAAAAAAGCCTGTGATTAACCGCCCCCCCCGCGGGCTCTAACTGGGGCTACCACAGCACTTCACCTATAGGTGCCAACAGTAGCCAGGAAGGAAGTCACTCGCCACAAGGTAACGCAGGAGCGTGCATCCAGACACGGAAGATGTGACTGACGCAGTTAACGCCGAGTGACCCTACAGAACCGATTCTCCAACCAGAACCTGGCTGGGGAAGAGGCTTCAGCATTCCCTATTGGGACAAATTTCTGGACAGGACTGGAAGGCGACAACTGGGTCAGCACGAAGTGTGGCAACTTACCAAAGCCCTAAGCTGCACACCCGGGGTCCCGATCAGGAAGTGTTTGGTGCTGGAGTTAAGAGGTCAGCAGCTCCTATCAGTCCCGCTGGGCTCTGGTCCCAGCTCCTCTCCCGGTTCTTCCTGTGAACATCATCCCGGGAGGCGGCAGGGATGGCTCAAGCACTTGAGTCCCTGTCTCCCATTTGGGAAATTGGACTGAGTCTCCTGCCTCTAGCCCAGCCCTGGCCGTGATAGGATCTCGCTCAGTGAAACTTTCCTAGGGGCCGTGTCCGTGACGCCCGCAGCCGCTATGAGCACTGCTGAGGGTGCTGGCTGCTCCGCTTCTGATCCAGCTCCCTGTCAATGCGCCTGGGAAAGCAGCCGAAGACGGCCTGGCCCGAGTCCTCGTGTCCTTGCACCTGCGGCAGAGACCAGGAGGAAGCTCCCGGCCTCCTATCTGGGGACTGAGCCCGCGGCGGGAAGATCTCTCCCTCTAATTCTGCCTTCCAAATGAAATAAATTAGTATTTAAAAAATTGTTTTTTCTATGCATAATGAAAGTTATCCTTGCACTAGGGACTAGAGGTGCAGGGCCTAAGGAAATGCTCTAATTTCTTTGTTTAAAAATGCATACTCATTCAGCTTTTCAAAGATTTTTTTTATTTGACAGGTGGAATTATAGACAGAGAAAGGTCTTCCTTCCGTTGGTTCACCTCCCAAATGGATGCTATGGCCGGCGCGCTGCGCCGATCGGAAGCCAGGAGCTTCCTCCTGGTCTCCCTTGGGGTGCAGGGCCCAAGCACTTGGGCCATCCTCCACTGCACTCCCGGGCCACAGCAGAGAGCTGGCCTGGAAGAGGAGCAACCGGGACAGAACCCGGCGCCCATATGGGATGCCGGCGCCGCAGGCGGAAGATTAACCAAGTGAGCCGCGGCGCCGGCCCCCTAAACGAAATCTTAAGCATACATTAATACTATATAATCATATTAATGCAATAAAAATTTTCACAGTGGCCCAACTACCGACATACGCAACGGTACACGATGGTCTGATACACGCATGCGTCGTAAACAGAACTCCTTTTGAAGGAAGGGGCCGTGGAAGCCTCAGGCGGCTCTGCAAGGCCGCGGCGGCGCCCAGCCCAGTCCCTCGGTGCTCCCAGGGCGGGAAGCCTCCTGGCATCAGCTCGACTCCGCCGGGGACCTTGGAGGAGTCCGCGCGCCACCTGCCCTCCTCCGGAACCTTGGCTCCTGAGGGCCGGGCGTGACCAACACGCAAAACCTGGGCGCCAGAGCCCAGGGCAGCAACGCCTCAGCAGGACTGCAGCGGGGCGGGAGGGGGCGTGGCCTCCGCATTGGCGCATGCGCGCCAAACCAGCACGCCGCACCCGCCCTCCCCACCCTCCTGCCCAGCCATTGGCTTATTGCCGGCTACCGCGTCGGCGATGTGGGTGGAGCCCGCCTCGATTTCCTCCAATGGCGGAGAGGCAGAGGCAGGCTCCGTGGAGGAGGAAGCATGGCGTGGAGACAGCTGAAAGTAAGTTCGGCGAGTGAGGCGTGCGGCGCCGAGCAGGACCCGCGCGGGGCCTGGGGGAGGGGAGCACGCAGGGCCAGCCCGGGCAGGCGGGGGCGGGAGGCAGCCCCGCGAGCGCGGGCCCCCGGGGCACCTGCCAGGGCTGGCGCGCGCGCACGTCCACGTGTCCTCGCTCCAGTGCGCGCAGACGTGCCGGCCGCTTCGGCCAGGCCGCCGTTCCGGTCAGGAGTCCTCGGAGCCCCCGGCGGGGCGTTGACGGTCGCGAGGGCCCTGGCTGTGGTCCCCTGGAGCACGAGGAATCCGTGCTCTGTCTGCATCGTTACCGACGCAGCCGATTACGACCCTTGCGTAGGGAACAAAACGCGAACCTTATGTGGCTCGATTCTCCGGCTTCCCGCGAGCTCCCCCCGTTATCACCGGGAGGCGAGCGACCTCCCAGTCTGTACCGCTCTCTTCCCAGCGGCCCCACTTGCTCGAGCGGTGGCTTCTTTCTCTCCACGAGATCAGTTTCCCCAGGAGCGGGGCCCAGGTCCTCTCGCCCTCTCGCGTGTTCCATCGGGATGTGGTCACTAGTTTTGCAGATGCACACGAGTGACAGCATCTGGCCGTGATGGAGAAAAGCGCCGCGAACTACTTGAGCTAGGATAGTGCTTCTTGCCCAGATAAAATCTTCACTTCCTTCATTATCTCGAACTAGAACCCTAATAGAGACTTCTGTGGGTAATTTTTGAAGTCGTAATTCCTTAATTGGAATAAAGGCGAATGTATAGTAAAAACAACAGGTGTTGACTACCTGTCAGCCTTGTATTTAACCTCTGAATAGAATGTGTCACTGGTGTGTTGTGTTGTCAGACACCCTAAGCAAAGCGCCGGGCCACTCCTGATGGGATTTGCTGAAATGATGAACAGTTCTTGTTCTGTGCCAGTTAGTACAGCTGCCTCTTAATTTACAGGATAATTGTATTCCTAGAAAAGCCAGTGTGTATGAAGACAGCTTGTGCTTGTATGGTCAAGTGGTTTCGCTCTCAGCTCAGCTATGTGGGCAGGCATCTACCCACACCAGTGTCACCAGCAACATTCCAAAGTCTTATGGGCCACGGGACTCTTCATGTCTGAAGCCAGGAAAAATGTTTGACCTGTGTCCCGTCCACTCAGTCTGTTGGCATTACCGGTGCTGTTTCCAGTGAAGTGTCCTCCACATGTCCCCTAGGGGGCAGCACTGCCCCTCTCCTGAAAACAACTGGGCTAGAGCCCTAAGCAGACCTGGCCTGGTGCTGTGTGTACTGCCAGACCCTGGAGACCAGTGTGGTCCCGACTAGAAGTGACGGCCACCCACGTCAGCAGAAGGCTGGACACGGAGTCGTGTGATGTCACAGGACACCCTCGGGGTGCGTAAGTGCCAAGGGCCTGGCCTGGCGCAGAGCCCCTCACGGGCTCTTTTCTTCCAGAAGCGGGCCCTGGACGCGGCGATCATCCTGGGGGGTGGCGGACTCCTCTTCACCGCCTACCTGACAGCTACAGGGGACGAACGTTTCTACACAGAACACCTGATGCCGGCTCTGCAGGGGCTGCTGGACCCGGAGTCAGCCCACAGGCTGGCCATTCGCTTCACCTCCCTGGGGCTCCTTCCGCGAGCTAGGTATCAGGACTCTGAAATGCTGGTAAGGTGCTCCTGGGATGCGTTGGGTTCCGGGAGGGAGGTCAAGTCCCCCTCACGGGGCTCGGCTGTTAGGGACCGATGCCGCTGGAAGCCGGGCCCAGGTCCGCAGCGCAGACCTGCAGCTCAGTCTGAGCAGTCCTCGGGATTATCACACAATGGAAGTTATCCTGCACGACCCACGGGACACTGCCGGGCGAGGCAGCGTTCTCATTCGGTCCTCACAGCTGCTGCACGAGGCAGGAACGGTGGCACAGAGCCGTTAAGTGACTGCCCGAAGTCACACACAGGAAGTGGCAGACCCAGGATTCCGACCTGTGGGTCTGCCTCGCCCAGGTCCCAGCTCAGCCTCCCCTCTGCCTGGTAGGGAAGCAGGCCAGTCATCAGACACTGATGGGATGCAGCTACCTCGAGCCCGCCCCTTTGTGCAAGGCACAGACACCTGTTGCAGCCTCCATCAGCCCAACATTCAACACCTGGGCCTCCCCGCCCCCCGCCAGGCCCCGGCACTGTGCCTGTGCCGTGCTCTGGGGATACTGCGGTCACCTAGACAAGGAGGATCCCTGGCCTCACCGATGTCCTCACGCAAGGCAGGGCAGTTTCCTTTTGGGAACTAGTTACCCTCCAGCGCCGAGTCCTGGTACCCGACTCGCGTCCTGAGTGCGCCAAGGCTCTGCAGGGTCAGGAAGAGCGCTGCTTTCCCTAAGCTTTCCTTACCCCCAGTTACAGTGTCAAAGTTCCGGAGCCGGGTGGGCTGCAGACACTCAGGTTCCGGGGTGGAACAGGCCCTGCAAGGACGCACAGCCGGCAGAGAGCAGCTGGCCTCGGAGCTGGCCCTGAACTCCACTGCGTGGCCCTGGCTGGCGGCAGCGTGTGCACGTGGGGGCCAGGCTCCCCGGCTGACAGCCAGGCCTCCAGAGACTCTCCTCCCGAGCTTTCTGTTGCCCCGACTCTTCCCTGGCGTCCTGGCCTCGGCCCGGCTGTGGGGCGGAGTCCCCAGGGCGGGCTGCCTCGACTAGCCAGGGGCTCTGGCTGCCTGCAGGAGCCATGTAATTCAGGGCTCGAGAGGGGCCTGCAGGCTGCGAGGGGAGCCTGTCCAGCAGCCGGGGTGGAAGACCCTGTCTGTCCGAGAGGAGGACCCTCAGGCCAGCCAGGCTTCTTGCTTCCCAGGACCCTGCGTGGCCACACGCATGTGCCCACCTGCACGTGTGTTGGGGCCTGCGTTCTCACCGCTGGCCCACGGGATCAGGCGCACTCGCTGGTCTTCCCCGGGCTGATGGCACACGGCGCCGCCCTGTCCTCAGCTCCACGCAGCGTCTTTTTGTCCGCTGGGCTGAGAGGGAGGCAGCTGGGGCTCATTTCTCTAGACTTCTTCAGTTGATTAAAGGGCTTCGCCGCTCGCACTGGTTTCACAGTGGCGCTTCCCAGGGGCTCTCGAGCCAGGCTAGTAGATGTGAGGGTGTGGCCTGTCAGCAGTGACTGGCAGAGTGGGCCCGTGTCCTGTCCGAACCACGGCCAAGCCAATTGTGTCCCCAGCCCCGGAGATAAGGAAGCCTGTGGTTCGCGGAGTGGAGCGGGCATGGCATCACCTGCTTGGCATTGTTGAAAATGGGCCCCTCAGACTACCCACCCCCCAGCATTCTGAAGCCGAATGTCTGAGGTGTTGTAGGCTCTCCAGAGATCCCGGTGTAGGTGCTGGGGAGCACGCTCTCAGAAACCCCAGGTTAGCCTGTGCACCTCTCACTTCTCCTTCCCAGGAAGTGAGAGTCCTCGGCCACAAGTTCCGGAACCCAGTGGGCGTCGCTGCGGGATTTGACAAGCACGGGGAAGCCGTGGACGGCCTCTACAAGATGGGCTTCGGTTTTGTCGAGGTAGGAAGTGTGACTCCACAGCCTCAGGAAGGGAACCCGAGACCCCGAGTCTTCCGCCTCCCTGAGGACCACGCCGTCATCAACAGGTAGGCCCGTGGCCCCAGCTAATGGGACGCCTCCTTGCCAGCTGGCTTTGTTTCTGATGTGCGGGGACGTTTGTGTCATTTGGAATGTTCAGGAGCTCTGCTGGGCATCCGCTGGGTGCCAGGCACCTGCCTCCCGCCGAGCTCAGAGGGCAGGCTTTGTCGTTCCCACTGAACAGCGCACGCGGAGCCGGGCAGCTCAGCTAATCCCAGAGATGACGAGGGGCGGAGCTGCGGCCGGCGGAGGCGCGCTGTGCTTTCTCCAGGCCTGGCCCCGATGCCGTCCCGTGGAAGTCCAACGCGCGCCCTGTAGTGTAACCTAAATACTCTAGTGACCACATTAAAACAGTAAAGAGAACTAACATGCAGTTAACTGTCCTGGATTTTATTAAACATTATTTACAATTACTGTGTTCTAGTTACACGTAATATATCCAGAACGTCAGCGTTTCCACACAGAATCCGTGAAGCAGCTACTTGTTGTCCTGGACCAGGTCTTCCGCAGCCAGTGTCGGACCTCCCAGCGCCTCTCGGTTGAGAGCAGCTGCCGGGGCGCCGGAGGCCCCCGTGGTCCCGGGCCTGAGCTCTGGGGTTGGGCAGGCGGCCCTGGCCTCCAGGAGTAGCTCGACAAGCAGCTCTGAGGACGAGGACTCCTTGCAGACTGTGTGGCCTTCTTCCCTTGGTCATCCTTGGGCGTGCAGCAGCAACCGGAACGGAGAGGAGCTCCTCTTTGCTAACAGGATTTTGAGGCACCTCCTCAGGAGGATTTGTTTTGGGGGGCCAGGGAGACCCAGAGAAGGAGCGAGAAGGGAAAGACAGTGCTTCCGTGTGTTGGTTCACCTCCCAGGTGCCCACAGATGGCTGGGAATGGCAGAGGCTGGGAGCTGGGAGCTCCCCCAGGTCTCCCACGTGGGTGGCAGGGGCCCAGTTACTGCAGACGTCACAGCTGCCTCCCATGCTCTGCATTAGCCAGAAGCTGGAGTCAGCAGCTTCCTCTGCGTCTCCCACGTGGGTGCAGGGGCCCGAGGACTTGGGCCATCTTCTACTGCTTTCCCAGGCCACAGCAGAGGGCTGGATCGGAAGAGGAGCAGCCAGTATTAGAACCGGCACCCATATGGGATGCTGGCACCACAGGGAGAGGATTAACCTACTGTGCCACAGCACCAGCCCCAACAAATGCCCACTGTCTTGGGGGCCGTGTAAGGCCTTCTGGGAAGTTGACCTGTCGGGACTGCTTGCTGCTTTTTGTGCTGGTTTCTGGGAAATTTTCCAATGTTAGAGATCAGGTTATTGATCTTTCTGTTGCATTGCTGTGGGGATCAATATCTTTAAAATTGGCTAGGCAAAATACATGACGGGTCTTCAGAATCTATGGACAATGTTTATTATGCAAAGGCTATGCATAGATTTTTGCACCAACATAAATGTGTAATTCCTTTTTTCCACAAGCTTTTTGAAGTACCCTTGTAGCATCCTGAACCAGGAGAAAGGGCGAGGGGCTGCTTCATGCAAGGGGGAGAGGGAGCATGTGATCTGTGCCAGGAAGCGCACCCCGGGAGGGGTGGCGTGAGGCCCACATGGGAGGTGGGAGGTGTGTAGGTATCAGAGGATTGGTGAGGGCTCAGGGAGTAGGAAGATGGCTTGGTAAGGAGCGGAGGTGGGATCCAGGCAGGGCCGGGGCAGCCACTGCTGACGAGTGCCGGCTACCTCCACTGCCAGCTGAGCAGCTTGTTTGCATAGTAGTTTTTAAGATTTACTTATTTGAAAGGCAGAGCTAAAGGAGAGAGAGAGAGAGAGATAGATCCATCTGCTGTTTCACTCCCCAAGTGTCTGCAGTGGCCAGGGCTGGGCCAGACCAAAGCCAGGAAGCTGGAGCTTCTTCCAGGTCCCCCATGTGGGTGCAGGGGCCCAAGGACATGGGCCATCCTCCACTGATTTCCCAGGTGCATTAGCAGGGAGCTGGATTGGAAGTGGAGCAGCCAGGTCTTGAACCGGTGCCCATATGGGAAGCTGGCATCACAGAAGGAGGCTTAACCTGCTATGCCACAATGCTAGCCCCTGTGTGTACACTTTAATCTTTCCTTTTATGCTTGATGATGATCTGGCATGTTCTCTAGGAATCCCAGGGGGTGTTGAGGCTGGAAGTATATAAACATTCTAATTTAAAAAATTTTAAATATATTTAGAATAGGGAAGGTTAAGATCTCTCATTTGTTGGTTCACTCCCCAAGTGGCTGCATCCAGGAGCCAAGAACACAAACCACACCTCCCATATGGGTGGCTGGGACCCAAGTACTTGAGTCACCAGCTGTTGCCTCCTAGATGTTGCATTCCCACATCAGTAGGAAGCTGGGATTGTGAGCAGAGCCGGGACTCGAACCCAGGCACTCTGATTTGGAATGTGGGCATCCCAGGCTGCATCTTAACTGCGGTGCCAAATGTCCCCTTCCCCCGCTCTGTTTTTGATGGTGGAAACGGCCAAGGCGCCGTGGCTCCCAGTGCTCTGCCTCTAATCGTGCCCTCCCCCATTTGCTTGTGTGCGGCAGGTACGGATTTAACAGTCACGGGCTCTCGGTGGTGGAGCACAGGTTACGGGCCCGGCAGCAGGTGCAGGCCAAGCTCACAGAAGGTAAAGTGTGGCTGCCCCAGGGGGGCTTTCTTCATGTGCTACAAGGGAACTGTGGGAGAGAGGCTGGGAACAGGCCCAGCGGAATAAACACGACTAAGCAGTAAACAAGAGCCACCCAGGAGTGGGGACACAGATTCCTACAGGAATTTGCCTGGTTTCACCACAGCCTCCAAGATTTTAACTGAATTCCACACTTTAGCAAAGGCTCCCTCCGTTTGTCTCAGGAAGAGCCCTGTGCCGTAGCTTACCTGGGGCAGCTGGGAGGGGCGGAGCCAGGCGGCTGGCAGTGCTTGCCAGGACAGCGAAGCGGAGCGCAGGGCGTGAGCGCCGCCTTCCAGCCTCCCGCTCTGGTGCACTTTTGTCCACTGTGGAAATGAAGTACTGCTTTGAGCAGGGTTAGTGAATGCAGAGCAGCACGCAGAAGTCAGTGAAGGTCTGGTGCTCTCCCCCGGCTCGGGGATACCCAATAGGAGGGCACTTCAGAAAGTCTGGAAAAAGTGGAGTTAAACGATACATTTATGTTGGTGCAAAAAATTGAAGTCCATGGATTTCTAAGCAAGGTGGCCACGTTACTTAGGTGCAACATGAGACACTTCTGAGAGGGGCTGTCCTGGCGGTAGTGGGCCTGGTACCTTAGCTTGGAATCCAGGGTCTTGCCCCGCCCAGAGAGGACTTCTCAGCAGAGCATGTGTGAGATGCACGAGTGAGGACAGACTTACTGCAGAGGTGAGCGAGTGAACACAGATTCACACGTGAGTGTGGCCCACCCCACGTGGAAAAGACCCTTCATGAGTGGGCCAGAGAGAGAGGAAGCCTGGCTGTACCCTGCTGCGGTCAGGGGCAAAAAGAGACCTCTCCTCCGTTCTCAGCCACTCCTGGGGTGGGGCGGGGGGTGTGGTGCCTTAATTAATACACAGATGGGGCGGGGTCTTATGCATGCAGCCACCTGGGACTTTTCCAGCACGTCCATGTGGGGTTTGATATCCACGTGGTCATCATGGCGACTCTTCCTTCCTGGTCCCTGCTGGCAAGAATTCCAGGTCACCTTGACACACCACATCACTGGGAGGAGGGGTGTGTGGTCACTCTAAGCAGAGTGGCTTTCCTCAGAGAAGTAAATTATAAATCATAAACTAGACCTCTGCAGTGTAGGCATGGTATGGGGAATACTCCCCAGCCTTTATTCTTTGTTTTTCCTCACACTGGCATAGCCGTCCCGTGACTGCAGTCCCATGAGGAGCCTCTGGGCGGGCAGTCAGCCCCTGACTTGCCTAGTGGGGTCCGCCTGCTCTCAGCCTGTGTGTGGGGCCTACCTTTTCAGTCACTAGTTATTGCCCTTGTTTCTCTGCCGCCCACTACACTGAGCGCTGTAAAGGGCAGACTGGGGCAGAGCATCCTGGCGGTCACCACTTTGTCCTGTGAGGGTGGAGTGCTGCTGTCTGGGCAGCAGGTGGCAGTGTCACGCCGTGGTTCACAGGGTCAGCAGGTGTGGAAGTGGATGTGGAAGCGGCTAGGAGCTGTCTGGTGAGGGGTGGCCCTAAGGTGCAGGAAGTGATGTGCGAACACACAAGCGTGGCCTGTGCTGTTTTCAGATGGGCTGCCACTGGGCATAAACCTGGGGAAGAACAAGACTTCGGCGGATGCTGCCACAGACTACGCCGAGGGGGTGCGCGTCCTGGGCCCCTTGGCCGACTACCTGGTGGTGAACGTGTCCAGTCCCAACACGGCCGGGCTGCGGAGCCTCCAGGGAAAGGCTGAGCTGCGCTGCCTGCTGACCAAGGTGGGCGGCTCGTCTCCGCTGTGCCCGTTTCACCAGCCTGTCCTCCCCACTCCTCCCCACTCCTCTCCTCCTCCTCCGCGGCACTGGGAGGAGCCGTGCTTAACCCTGGGACAACTCGGGCCCCTTCCCTGTGCCCCCCAAAGCACCCCGTGGCCCGTATCAAAGCTGATTACGTGAACAGTGTCACTGCTGCGTCTTCTGTCCCTGCTACTGCCAACCCCCGAGGGCCGTGAGAGCAGGGACCTTGGCTCTCACGTACCCCTCTGTCCCTGCGTGCAGCTCTGTGAGGGAACTGGATGATCGTTTGTCACATGGTACTGGTGCCGGTGTTTCCTTATTATCCTCTAGGGACAAAAATCTGTACAACCTTGTGATAGTAGCCAGTGCCAGTTCCACGGAACTGAGTGAGATCCATCTGATGTGGGCTGTGGGTAACTGAGGGCTGGGCTGCCTGAGAAGAAGGTGCATGCTTTGGTCTGGAGCTGCAGGTGTGGGTGCCCTGCTGGGCTGTGTCTGGGGTCCCCACCTCTGGCCCTTGTTGCCCTAGGTGCTGCAGGAGCGGGATGCCCTGAAGGGGGCGCACAAGCCAGCAGTGCTGGTGAAGATCGCCCCCGACCTCACGGCCCAGGACAAGGAGGATATCGCCAGCGTGGTGAGAGAGGTCCGAGTCGGGCCGGCCTGGGGGGCTGTTGTTACCTGCAGAGGCACCTGGCTGGTGGGGATAGCTCAGGACGGCAGCTTCTGTCACATCCTCTGTAGTGAGAAGCACTGTGCTTCTGTGTCAGCCTGCCCAGGCCTCTGTGCCATAGGAAAGCCATGGAAACAGATGGAGCCCAGCGCTGCTGGTTCAAACCCTGGTTCTGCCTACCCAAGGCGCTGTAAAGTGAGCGGATCGTTGTGGGGGTCAGAGGCTGTGCTGCTGCCACGTTACGGAGGCTCAGGATGGTGGTTGCTGTCGTCACGTTGAGCTCAGCTGAGCTGAGTGAGGTCTGGTGCAGCCCCCAGGGGCTGTGCAGTGGGCCCTGCCCGGCTGCTGCCTCAGATCTCCAGGGAAGCTTCTCTGAATGCTGGGGCCCTGACTCCAGGCTGTCTGTCTCCCTCTGCAGTTGGGCATTGATGGATTGATCATCACGAACACCACGGTGAGTCGCCCCGCCAGCCTGCAGGGGGCCCTGCGCTCTGAAGCCGGAGGGCTGAGCGGGAAGCCCTTGCGGGATTTATCAACTCAAACCATTCGGGAGATGTACGCGCTCACCCAAGGCAAGTGTTCTGGGGTCTGTGTCTTGGGACTGGTGTGTGGCTCCGGCTCCGGGCTGGGACTGGAGTTTTGCCCTGATCTGCACTGGCGGGTGGGTGCCGTGGGGCTGACGTCCTGGGGGTGCAGGCCTCACGTCCCTCGTCGGCTGTGTTTCCCTGCAGGCAGGATTCCCATCATTGGAGTTGGCGGAGTCAGCAGCGGGCAGGACGCGCTGGAGAAGATCCAGGCCGGGGCCTCCCTGGTGCAGCTGTACACGGCCCTCACCTACTGCGGGCCGCCCGTGGTGGGCAAGGTCAAGCGCGAGCTGGAGGCCCTTTTGAAGTGAGTGCCACCGGGAGGTCAGGGGTTGATTAGAGTGGCCTGAATCCAGAGCCACTTGGGCCTTCGTTCCTCATTCAGAAGATACTGGAGGGGTGGACTCCGGACACAGGGAAATCACATGACTTCTGCTGAAGAATGAACTGGGCCACGGGGATTCAGAATTCACCTCCAAGGCAGAGGTGCCCATGCATTTGAAAGAGGGGCCTGAGAGTCCTGCTAGAATGAAGTCCAGGCAGGGGACCCTTTTTTCTGCCAAGGACAATTTGAATATTTATAGTATCATTCACGGGCCATACAAAATTGTCAGCTTAAACCTTAGCCTGCTATAGGTTTACTGAATTTTGAGCCCCTCCTGCATTTGCCTTGAGGGTCTTGGAGGGCCTGTGAGCTGCATGTTCCCCCCCGGCTTAAGCAGTTAGTTATGTAGCAGGGTGAGGGCTGTCGGCACCTGATTCCCTTCCTGGTCAGAAGCCGTGGCCGGGTGAAGACAGTGCAGAGAGCACACACAAGTCGTGTCTGGGAGTGACGATGTGTCTGGGAGAGCAGGGCGTATGGGTACACGGGGCTTCCTGCTAGAGCAGGGCCTGTCCTCTACCATTTGGTGGACTTGCTTTTTGGCCTCTCTTTCCAGAGAGCAGGGTTTCAGCAGAGTCACAGATGCCATTGGAGCGGATCATCGGAGGTGAGGATGTTGGCCGATGAACTTGGCCTGGAACCTTCCTGTGAACTCGGGCGAGCCTTTGTGGCCGGACCGTGAGAGCGTAGACTGTCTGAGTCGTGCCTGTCAAAGCCGATCACTGAGGTCACCAGGATGAGCAGAAGGTGTTCTCCAGTGGCTTGGTCGGAGCGTAAACTGCAGTCATTGGTCCTTCTAGACTCGAATCCTGAGATCCGTCATTATGGCAAGGACACTGGATTTTTGGAGAGAAAAATCATGGAAAAAATACAGCCATTAAAACCCGAATTTAAACCCACAGGCCTTGGCCACACCATGCAGGCCTTTCCAGGCCTCTGTTGGCTGGGTCAGCAGTGGACTTACTAGGAACTTGCCTGTCTTTCATTCTTTATTTTTATTTCTGTGTTTATTTTGAAAACACTCCAAGCAGAGGCAAACTTACTTGCATAAACACTTCACTTTGATTTACCAGCTGCTAACATTTTCACACTTGCTTTATTTCTAGAAGAACATATAGATAAGACATGCACATTATTCCTGCGTTTAGTATTGCTGAAGCACCTGAGGTCAGTTGCAGCTGTCATGACCTTGAATACGTACGTGCTCCGGTGTGTGTCTCCTGAGCACACTGATGTTAATTTTGAAATGTATTGGAGAGGCACACACAGGCAAGTAGGCAGAGATCTCTTATCCACTAGTTCACCCTTTGGCAGTGGCCAAGGCTAAATAAAGCTGGGCACTGGGAACTCAGTCTGAGTCTCCCATGTGGATGACAGACTCAAATACTTGGGCCATGACCTGCTGCCTTCCAGGGTGCTGGAATGGGAAGTGGAGCCAAGGCTTGAACCCAGGTACTCAGTTATGGGATGCAGGTATCCTGGTGCTTTTTTTTTTTTTTTAAGACATTTATTTATTTGAGAGAGTTACAAAATGAGAGGGAAAGACAGAGGTCTTCCAGATCTGCTGGCAGTGCTGGGCCAGGCTGAAGCCAGGAACTTCATTCAGGTCTCCCATGTTGGAGACAGGGACCCATACACCTGGACCATCTTCCACTGCTTTTCCCAAGCGCATTAGTAGGGAGCTGGATCAGAAGTGGAGCAGCCAGGACTCTGACTGAGCCCAAGTGGGATGCTGGCACTGCAGGTGGCAGTTTTACCTGCTAGACCACAGCACCGGCCCCCAAGATGGTTTCTTAACTGTTGCAGCAGCTGCCCGCCTACATACAACATTGATCTTGCACACGCATGTACACTTAGACATGTGCTTACATTTTGTATACCCCTGTTTATCCATGGGAAACATACCCTCTTCAGTTTATAGTTCTTTCACATGATACCATACACAAATACATCCTGAGTCGACTGTCTTGCTCCTCTGACTTGGGCACTGTTTGTGTTGGCTCCTGTTGGTCCACCTCATTCTTTTTTGTGGGATATGTTTAGCCAGTCCTCCACTGGGGATCACCTAGATAACTTCTAGTTTTCCTGTCGCAGCCATGCTTCAGGCAATGGCCTTGTACCTGGATTGGCACCTTTGCTTGGGTGTTAATACAGGTGTGAGAGCTGGGTCAAAGGGTTGGAGTGTTCTTTTTTCTTTTTTTTTTTTTTTTTTGACAGGCAGAGTGGACAGTGAGAGAGAGAGACAGAGAGAAAGGTCTTCCTTTTGCCGTTGGTTCACCCTCCAATGGCTGCTGTGGCCGGCGCGCTGCGGCCGGCGCACCGCGCTGATCTGAAGGCAGGAGCCAGGTACTTATCCTGGTCTCCCATGGGGTGCAGGGCCCAAGCACTTGGGCCATCCTCCACTGCCTTCCCTGGCACAGCAGAGAGCTGGCCTGGAAGAGGGGCAACCGGGACAGAATCCGGCGCCCTGACTGGGACTAGAACCCGGTGTGCTGGCGCTGCTAGGTGGAGGATTAGCCTAGTGAGCCGCGGCGCTGGCCCATAGTTGGAGTGTTCTAAATCTTGCTAGAGCCACCAGCTCCCGTAAGCTTTTAGAACTGCCCATTTCCTACCATAGAGGCCGTGTTGGGGCACTTCCCCAGCCCCTCCGCTGGGCCTGTTTGAAGCTGCACTGTGATGCCTGAAGACAGACTCACCACAGCAACAGCTCATGTCCACTGAGTGCTGACTTGGCCAGACGCTGGGCCAAGGGCTTGGCATCGCCTCTTCACAGGTGAGAAAACGGAGGACGAGATGGTGCTGGCTTGTGTCGCCACGTTCCTCAGCAAGCACGGCCTGACCAGGCTGTCACTGCTGACTCAACACCTTCTCTGTGTCTCCACATTAACTGTACTCAAGGAACACCAGTTCACTGAAGGAGAAATGGAAATGGGCAAACAGAAGGAAAAGAACCCCTGGCTCTGACTTTCACCCTCATCAAAGGAAGGCATGTGCACGGGCCAGTATTCACTCAGGGCAGGACACTGTGTGGTACTACTTGCCAGGTGCGTGGGGACGAAAGGGGCCTGAGTGTGACTGGCCACCTTGATGTGGTCCTGGAGGAACTCCCATAGATGGCCAGCTTTCAGACCTAACAGGGTCAAAGGACAGAATTACAGTGGCTTAAGTATCTTAATTAGCTTAATTTTGTTTCCAGAATTGGACAATACTTCATTCCAAAAGAGGTTGGTTTTATAGAAGGAAACAGCTAAGGAAAGCAGAAACAAAGAACAAAAACCCGATTTACTCACTTCAATGTTGCTTTGTGCACAAGGCAGGGACGGGGGTGTAGCAATGATACAGTAACTGATCGTCAACATCAGGTTATTTTAGGTGACTTCCTTTGTGTAAGAATGAAAGCAGAGAAAACACCTTTATCCTTGCCTATTGAAGCTGGCCTGTCTGGGGAAATTGAGCGGCGGTGTCTCTAATCCTAGTTTCACTGAGGATCAGGTAAACAGCTTGGTTTCAGCTTGGTGACTGTGGGTCTTGAGTGTGGGTGACTCCATTTTGATTTTTAGCCTGGGCTGTTTGAGGCCTAGTGCAGGAGCTTACTCCAGAACAATGGCCTCCTGTGGTTTTTGTTTTAATAGTGGTGTTTCTAGCTACACCATATCTACAGCCGTTGGGAAAGCATCCTGGTCTTGGTAGCTGATTGAGTTTGCTTCAGCTGGCCTGCGGAAGTAGCATACACTGTGACTGGAACACCAGAAATGGATCCTCTCATGGGTCAAGGTTAGAAGTCCATGCCAGAGGGCAGCAGGGCTGGGTCTTTCTGGAGGCCTGGAGCAAGGATGTGTCCCTGGGCTCCGCTGGTGTGCAGGTGACATCCTCCACCGCCTTCCTGTTACCTTCTCTGTCTGCCCTGACTCCCCCTTTGTCCAAGACTGGGTTAGGTCTTGTCCTAATGACTTCATTTTAACTCAGTTACTTCTGTAAAGACCCTTTCTCCAAATAAGGTCGCATTTTGAGACACTAGGCTAAGAACTTCAGCATACCATGATTCAGCTCCTTAACAGGACATGCGCTTGCTGTCCCTGCTTTCATAGTATCTGACTTGGGGCAGCAGGCTCACAAGGTGCTTGAAGATACTACTGCAAGAGATTACGGAAGTCTAGTAGTTAATGAAAGAAACAGACAAATGTTAATCCTTCCAGTACCTAAAAGCCAGTGGTGAAGCGGGGGCCTGGGAACTGCTGTTGACATCTGGCATTTTCCTGTAGCCAACAAATAATTACTCTGGGCCTGTCAGCTTGGCACATATTTTATTTTAAATGTGATTCTTGCCAGCTCTGTGAGAGGCATGTAATTGCTGTTGGAATTGTTGCCTCACTGCGAATACTCGGTTGGGTGACTTGTATTCATTGGCTCGCTTGAAAGTGTCTGCCAGACTCTCCACTCTAAAGGTTTTCCTTTTTCTGTGTAATTACAAGTGTGTTTGTAGCAAGGACTCTGGTCATGTGTTGGAAACTTAGTTCTCAGGACAGCAGTGCTGGGAGGTGTTCAGGTCATGAGGTTGCACCCTGAGGAACAGCTGAATGCTGTTACAAACGGGCTGGACGGGGGCGGGCATTTGGCACAGCAGTAGGATGCTTCCCGCATCCCATATCTGAGTGTCTGGGTTCAAGACCCAGCTTCACTTCTGATTCCAGCTTCTAATGCACAGCCACAGGCATTATCATAGGGCTCAAGTAGTTGGGTCTCTGCCACCCACATGGAAGGCCACGCTCCGGGCTTGGGCCCAGCCCAGCCTTGGTTGTTCTGGGCATCTGGGGAATGAACCAGTAGATGAGAGCTGTGTCTCTGTCTCTCTGCCTCTTATATGACAAGATTTTAAAAAAATAAATAGTTTTGGGACTGGCATTATGGTACAGCAGGTTAAGCCACTGCCTATGACACATGTATCCCAAATCATGGCACCGGTTCAAGTCCCGGCTGCACTGCTTCTGCTCTAGGTCCCTGCTAATGCACCAAGGAAAGCAGCAGATGATGGCCTAAGTGTCTGGGCACCTGCCACCCGTGTGGGAGACCAGGATGGAGTTCCAGGCTCCTGTGGGCCTGGCCCAGCCTGTGCTGTTGCAGCCGTTTGGGGAGTGAACCAGTGGACGGAAGATATTTGTCTGTCTCTCATTCTGTATGTCACTCTGCCTTTCAAATAAGTGAAATCTTAAAAAGTCTCTAAAAAGGACTTGGGTGGAGGAGTGTTGCTGCTGTACCCTTCTGCCTTCTGCCATGTGAAGACACGGCCTTCTTCCCGTCCAGAGGAATGGCACCAATGTTGAGGGCAGCGCCGTGGGAACAGTCTGGATCCTCAGCAGACACCAAGTGATATTGCCTGCAGCTTGCGCCTGTAGCCTTCAGGACTCTGAGAAATACATTTCTGTGCTTTATAAGTGATCAGTCAGGGATCTGTGACAGCGGCACAGAGCAGAGTTAGACAGGTACTGTGAATTCCCTGTTCCTCTTCAAACCTTCAGGTCATTGACTTGTTTATATCCATGTGTCCCATGGCTCAGAAAATCCATTACTATCACGATTCTGATGCCAAAATTGTCCAGTGTTGGCCACTGGAAGCCTCTTCAGGTGGTTTGCTGCGTCCTTGTGATGAGTCCTCACCACTCTGTGGTGGCCTTTGCTTTATGGACAAGATTGTGTACACACAGACACGTGTGTATGTGTACACTTAAATATTGAGTTTTCATGTCTCCACATGTTGAAAGGCATGAATTCAGGCTGATCCCTTTAATTCCAATCCAAAGCCTTAAGACATTCTAGTGTCTTCCCTTTTCATATTTGCAACTCCACCCACTGCCTCCATTTCTACTTCCTATTTTCTTTCTTTCCCAATCTGGTGGGTACCCAACCTGTCGTTTCCACCCCCTGCCATGTTTGGGCAAGGGACACCTTTCATGCCCTCCCTCCCTGCACTGGCCACGGGTACCTCCTCACCTGCAACTCGGACACTTGCTCAGGCTGCCCCTGGGAACACATCCTCCTCACCCGTTCAGCCTCTGACCCTCGTGGTGGGCAGTCACCCACGT